TATACATTTAATCTGTAGAAACACTTGCATAAATTTAGGAGATGTATTTATGTCTTTTGAAGCAGCATATTGTATGGGTTAAAATAAAAGCAGAAGCTTGATGTGAGAGTACCCGGGTTTACGTTCTGGCTTGAAGCTTACTGTCTGCCTTGAGCAAGTTACTAAACTGTGAAGCTCAGTGTTTATCTGTGTGTTAGAGACAGAAACAGTGTGTAGCAGATGGATCTACTGTAGATTTTGATAGAACCGTGGAAATAGTGGTGAGGAGGGTGCTTTTGTGATCACTGCCCCATGAACCCATGGGGCAGTGCTTTGTACTGTTACTTACAACTGCCTGAATCAGTGTATAAAAAGAACATTTGTGAAATGGGTGTCTGAAGACCTTATAAAAGGAGATCAGCTATTTTCTTCTTGATGGTGGAGATCAATGAAAATTTTTGTAATGTAGTGACATGTAAATGTGTATTGCAAAGTCTTTTAGGGGCTGGGGACATGGCTCAAAGTTAGAGCATTTGCCTAGCAAGCATCAAGCACAGAGTTTGATCTCTAGCAGTGAGAGGTGGAGGTGGGGAAATAGTACTTTAAGAAGAAAAACCCTAGTGGCTATTAATTTGAAGATACTCAGAAGAGGTGAGAAGTCAACTAAGGAAAGGAGGCTCTGTGAAGGTTAGGTAAAAGATTTGGTGAGTATTGATTGTGAAATTCTTAGAGATGGATGGAGGGGTGTCAATCAGAATTCGTCACGATGAACAGGTGGGGAAGATTTGATTTATGTCCAAGATACTTCTTGTGGTTCTTGCCAGGACATAGCTAAGTTGTGGAGTGAGGCTATTTTAAAATAATAGCTTCAGGGCTCTCCTTCAGGAGTAGAATGCATGCCCGACTTGCTCAGAACCCTGGCTTTGATCACCTGTACTGCAAAACAGAGTCCATACACTCCAACAGATTTGAAGTCTATAATGAAAGTCTTTCAGTTTCCTTAAGGCATCCAATACCTTGTTGATTTATCACCTTGTATAAGATGGTATCTTAGAATTTTTAAAATTTGGGAGTTTTATGGATGCATTATACAATTTTGCCATTTTTTACAATTAAGGATACTGTAAGAGCAGATCATTAGTATTTACTTTTGAGGCTCTGCTTCATTGTGGGAGTGTTTAAATACTTCAGTTTGTTCTGGGGTGCTCTTGTCAGCGGGCGGCCCCCCCCCCCATTGGTATTAATCTCTCCAGACCAATTGTCTGGCTTCTATAACCATAAGAAAGTAGGAAAATCTTAGAACTAACTATATTCTTTAGTTATATCTTACAGCTATTTTTTCTTCATTCTTTAACTTTGAAATGGTTTTGCTTTCCCCTTTGTTTTTAAGAAGTTCATAGGTTGGCGAGATAGCTTAGCAGACTAAGCTTAGGCAAGCACAGGGACCAGGGTTCGATTCCTGGCACCACATGCCTCACCAGCCCCACCCCCCCGAGCCAGCCACACAGTCTGGGTGTGGTGGCAGGGCTGGTGCAGCATGTGGTGCCAGGGATCAAACCCCAGTTCCTGTGCTTCCTAAGCAGGCACTTAGTCTGTTGAGTTACCTTTTTTT